CCACTGTTGTTGACTTTCCTGTAGTTGCTGCTGACTTTCCTGCAACTAGTTGTTGGAGGAAAAAGAAAAGAAACAAGAAGAACGAGAAATTAAACAAGAAGAGAGATTACAGCAGTTGTTGGAGGAGAAAGAAAATAAACAAGAAGAGAAATTACAGCAGTTGTTAGAGGAAAAAGAAAAGAAACAAGAAGAAAAATTACAGCAGTGGCAACTGGAACAAGAAAGGAAACAGGAAGAAAGTCTCCAACGCTGTAATCTCTCTTGTTTATTTTGCTGTTCGAGCTGCCACTGTTGCAGGTTTTCTTGCTACTCCCGTTGTCTCTCTTCATGTTTATTTTCTTTTTCCTCTAACAACTGCTGTAATCTCTCTTCTTGTTTAATTTCTCGTTCTTCTTGTTTCTTTTTACGTTCATTTTCTCTCTTCTTGTTTATTTTCTTTTTCCTCTAACAACTGCTGTAATCTCTCTTCTTGTTTAATTTCTCGTTCTTCTTGTTTCTTTTCTTTTTCCTCTTGTTTCTTTTGCTTCTCTTGTATTGCAGCCATCAAGTCTGCTATGCTGTAGTTTGATTTGCCGCTTCTCGTTTCCATTTTTTTGTCCCACTCTCTGACACCAATTTGTTACGTCTCCGCTTGTTAATTAACTTTCCGTAACTTCATTCCGACAAAACTTTAGCGACACAAGTTCTTTACTTAATAAAACTGGTTTATTCTTTCCGAATACAACTTTACCGATACACTCAACTTCAACAATCGCGCTAAACAAACGCTATAACAACGAACGTGCTCAATAATACTTCTGACTGCAGATTGTATAGATAGTGAGTAATTGTAGGCGGTATATATAAGAGGGGAAAACGTGACGCGGGAGATTATTGTAATGTGTGAGATAGATAGTGAGTAATTGAACTGCAGTCACGGGGTATAATTGAAGTTAACGTTCGTTCGTTATAGTATTTGTTTTGGCGAATGCTCTAGTGTTTGCTAGATGGGGAAAGTACATGATAGTTCTAGAAACGTTGCGTCAAAGTAGTCATGTGATTCGATGACGCAACAGAACCTCAATAAATTACCTTTATTGACACTTGTCTGCTCAATCTCAAAAGTTTCATTAACTTTAATATAATTATTAATGTTATTACACGTGTAGACATTCAGATTCGATGACATTGTTTAACCTCTGACCTCGGATTTTATAATTATGTTTTTGTCTTTAGAACTATTCAAATTCTTTATAATATTTTTTTTATTTGAAATGTTTACTTGTGAATTTTTGTTCACTTAATTGTCTTTTAAAACTAAAACTTGTAATTTCAATGAAAAGTAGAAAAAAAATCTATAAATGACGTAGAGACCTAATGATTTACTTGTCTCTCTACTTCTTTAATGGTAAAATGTAAACAACTTACATCAAACACCTATCAATTGAAATGTTTATGTTTGATTTTTTTTTTATTTAACAGCTAAAAATTATGTAATCCACATGTTCTGTTTCTTCTATCAATTCAATCTTATATTACTTGTAGTTGCCACATTGAGCTTAAAATATTCATAGCATTTGAGGTCACTCTGTAATTTTCTGGACCTGATGACCGAAACGTTTAAATTTTTTCAAGTAATTCCACATTTGGCAAATGTATATTGTTTCACGCGTTTAAATAAAAGTCGAAAGTTCTAGTTTCTAGGCGTACATTAACTTTAGTCGTTTAATAAAAGCCGGAGGTCCTAGTTTCTAGACGTGCATTAACTTTAGTCGTTTAATAAAAGCCGGAAGTCCTAGTTTCTAGGGGTACATTAACTTTAGTCGTTTAATAAAAGCTATAGGTCCTAGTTTCTAGGCGTACATTAACTTTAGTCGTTTAATAAAAGCTATAGGTCCTAGTTTCTAGACGTGCATTAACTTTAGTCGTTTAATAAAAGCTATAGGTCCTAGTTTCTAGGCATACATTAACTTTAGTCGTTTAATAAAAGCTGGAAATACTAGTTTTGTAGACGTACACTAACTTTAGTCGTTTGATTCTTACGACCCCAATTATCATGATATTGTGAAAGCAAATTTTATATGTTTTATCTCAAAGGATAATTTGCGGACAAAACTGAAATTCAATGGTAAAGACCTCAAACTTAGGGCCTACCACCTACGTAGTGAGAAGGGTTGAAGCATGTGAAAGACGGCAAGTAAAGCAAAACTAAAACTAGTATTTAATGGACAGCTGTCGTGTATGATCAAAGTATTTTCCACAGATTGGTTTACTCAGACATAATAAAGTATTTCGTTTACACTTCCTAGTCCTACGATCTTAATGATTTAAGGCAGTGTGTTTCCAAACCTAGTGGAGGCCTTTTGGCGGGAGAGCCCAAAAACAACAAAGGAAGAAACAGAAGAGTTGATAACATTTTGTTTCTGCTGTTATCACTTGCGAATACGAATAGGAGCACAATTCCACTTTGCACACAGCACAACACTTTTCTTCTCACTTTGAATTAATAGTTTGAAATATGACTCTGTTTATGTTTTGCTTTTTACTTTTTTATGCGAATTAGAAATATAACTTATTTTGGACTGGCATTACTAATTCATTTTATATACACTTTAGCTTTCTTAAAGTATTATTTTTTAACTCTTTAAAAGTATGTACCGGTAGAATGCCTAACGCAACAAAAATAATGATGTTCGTAGTTTAAATAGTTTACACATGCCTTTATTTATTGTTACACAATTTTAAATGCTTTTGCACACTGCACTCTAAACAACAATAGTATTATTGAAAAGATCAGAGATAAAGGATAACTTAAAATAATTGCGCCTATTATTTGCAAGTCTTTTAAATTATTTCTACTTTACACTAAAGTATAGCCTAAAACCCTCGATCAAGGTTTTCAAAATTATCATACACTATATGACAATTATTACATATATTTGGTGGGAAGACTACGTGACAACAAATTACGAAATAAACTTAAGTTTTTTTTTATGTATTATCGTTTACCTAAACTAAAATATTTTGAAGTAACAAATATGAAATTACTGCAAAGACGAACAACTATGTTACAGAAAGCTATACACTATAATAGCCTTCTTTACTACGCCATCTAATGGTCTTTACAAAACCACACAAAAATTTGCTGGAGTGCAGTGGATTTACATAATCCAGAAAGGTATTTTAAGTGGCGTGATTTTTTACTAATAACAATATATCCTACTTAAGAAAAAAGTTATTACTGGCTATTAAGTCTAAATTTTAAACGTCTCTCTACAGTGTAACAGTATGGAACAAATCATGGGCGACGGAGCCGGAGGAAGTGGGTGGTGGTGGCTATAACTCCCACTTTTCTTGAAACAGAAATATTTAGACTTACACTAAAAGATGGAATCAATGACTGAGAGGGGATCATAACAGCAGGTGGCACTGGAACTGGTAGACGAGGTGAATATCAGTTAAATTTATGGCTGTTTGGATATGAAGTGATTCACCACTTTTTGAGAGAACTTACTGTATCTGCTGTTTAAAATACTGTTTCTGGTGTAAGCCTAGTTTTTGACACAATATAGTCACTTCCCCAACTATTTTACAGAGTATGTCAATCTCAGCAACAGGGTAAGCTAGGCAAAACTCCCATTGAAAGCTGTCGACATGGAGGGAAGCCCTCGCCCCTTTCCTCCCAACAACACTACTAATATATAAATCGTCAATATTATATGCACATGTAGGCCTATAAATCTCTTCACCACCCCCACATCACTTTCAAATTGGCTCCGCCGCCTGTGCAGACAATGAAAATAGATAGAAGTGGTCACTCGTTCCATAAATAAGGGCGTGTTTCTTATGAAAAGTGTTTTTATTTATTTATTTTTAGTTTCCAGGTATGGATACGGTAGGTTCAGTTAAGGTGTGCCACATTGCTACAGCTCGTTTCGAAACCAACATATCCCTCATGTGTGCAGCCTCGTTCCCTTTGGATTGTGGACCAATGACCACTCGACCAAGAACCTCGTTTTGACCCAGAATACTATCGTTCATCACCGTCATTTCCAGAGTCATGTTGGTCAACTGATCTTTGGCCACGTTGAAAGTCAAAGCTTCGTTAAACACGGGATTCAGGGTACCACGCTGAGTGTTGGTCTTTTTTTTCTTTAGGCGTTTTCTGTCTTGTATAAGAGCAACTTTCACGTACGGATCTATGAAAGAAAAAAATCTTGAAAGTAGTATATGTTAATGGCATTGATATTTAAAAAGCACCCCTTTTATTATCACTACATTTTGTTTTATTTCTGTATAAGTACATGGAATTGAGGCGACATATGATATTCTAAAGATATAGCAAAGACGTAAGAAATGTGATATTCTTAATTTAAGACAATCACAAAATATATATATTATAGAGTGAAACGAAACCACATTTGAAAAAAAAAATTCTGGGAACTAATTTCTGGCGTTAATACATTATGTTTAACGCTATTTTGTGAAGATTCGGTTAACTAATCAGAAGCGGTGGGTACATCTATTACACATTGTTTGTTTATGGCAAAACTACCTTGCTATATGCTGCTGTCCCTAATTTTGAGCTTCAGACTAGAAGGAAGGCAACAGGGCCAGCAGCGCCTACCTCCAACTCTGAGCTACTCTGTACGAAAAGTGCAAGCACGTTTGGCGCCGGGTTTCGATTCCGCAACCCGTAGATTGCAAATAGAGCGCCCTAATAACCAAGCCATAACACTAAGTATGTGTGAAAAGTTTTAAAATGTTTTGATATGCCAGTTAAAAAAAAAGATACAACAGTTCATATATGCTCAATCACATATAGAAGGTTTTTATGAATTATTGAAAATATGAAACAAAATTCTCTTGCCAAAAGTAACTAATATTAATTAGAAAAACAGATACCTAACTAGAATGGAAAATCAAAGTTAACAAGGCATTTAGGTTGAATTTAACTTTCTCGTAGGATTGAAAAGTTGCTGCCTTAAAAAGTAATCGCATCACCTGGACAAGAACTATTGATTTTTTTAGTTTTTTTCGTACTGCCAGCTCTGAATTGGGATCCAGCTGTTCAATGTGGAACAAGCTGCATTTATTTATGAGCTCAATCATTCACTTTCATGGTAATCCAAATTGATTTCTCTTGTAACAATCACGACCAATATATTTGCAATTCCTCGAAAAGGTCTATAACTGAAACGAGGAACTTTAGAGTTTTAGTTTCCCACATTAGGGTTCTTCCTTCAAAGTATTGCGTTTGCCTTCCTCTAAAAAATAAAACAGGACTTAGTTTTAAAGCTAGTTTTTACAGATATTCGCGCAAAGCTACTCAAGGGCTACTTGCAATAACCGCATCTAATTTTGAACAGATACAACATAGGTAAGGCATCTAGTCAACAGCACCCAGTTCTTGTGCTGCTCCAATAGAAAAGTGGGATCTGACCCTTGATCTTATAACGCACCCATAGCCCCCATTTTGTGGCAACGGGAAGTGAACCATGGACTCAGATTCACATTCAGGCATATCATTCACTCAGCCTTCTTTCCATTCAGAGGAGAGTGAGATCGTCACTTGTATTTGCGCATACACATGACTTGAGTTGAATTGCTTTTATCTAGTGCGTTGTTGAATAAATAAAACATTTTTGTTTCATTGTGAAACCTTATGTCCAGCTTCTTTCCTCAGTTCAGTTACATCGAAATTCAGTTTAACTTGTACGTTGTAGTACGTTCGTAACAGAATCTCTTGTTACACTGACTTACCTATAAGAAATCTATGCTTAACAGGCCAAGGAAGATGTATAGAACTATCTCTGAAATTAGCAATTGAAATATTTATGGAGTTTAGGATCGTTAAGACTGTACAATGAGTTGTAAGTGAAAAATTATTTGAGTCTGTATCCAAACACAACCTTAATCTAACGGTTTCAAAGTTACAATTTTGTGAGAGTGGCTCATAATAAGAAAGAGACACGTCATAATTACGCTCCAGTCTTGCAAATTTTCAGCTAGTACAAATATTGATCTGTAAATTGTAGATCGTCAGAATTTTTCTCCACAATCCCCTGTAATTTGTATTCCTTAAGTGATAGTAGTCGCTTCAAATAACACTAGTTAATTGGTCAAAAATAGAACATTATTAACGTAAATCACTACCTAAGCCAGAAAACTAGTACACATTTTCCACTAACTTTGAAATTTGAAAATTAAATGTTTTACTTTCAACGCATTAATATAACACTGAAGAAAGTAACTGATTATGTTACTATAGACACAATATACTACTATAGTACAGGTAGCGATTATTAACAGCGCACTGATATAACACTGAAGAAAGTAACTGATTATGTTACTATAGACACAGTATACTACTATAGTACAGGTAGCGATTATTAACAGCGCACTGATATAACACTGAAGAAAGTAACTGATTATGTTACTATAGACACAGTATACTACTATAGTACAGGTAGAGATTATTAACAGTGCACTGATATAACACTGAAGAAAGTAACTGATCATGTTACCATAGACACAATATACTACTGTAGTACAGGTAGAGATTATTAACAGCGCACTGATATAACACTGAAGAAAATAACTGATCATGTTACCATAGACACAATATACTACTGTGGTACAGGTAGAGATTATTAACAGCGCACTGATATAACACTGATGAAAGTAACTGATCATGTTACATAGAAAAAAACATCTGGCTTTCTGTGAACAGTGTCAACTCAATATCTTAAGTTTTCAGAATTTTTATTTCCTAGCAAACGAAGTTTCCAAAACAAAAACAATACAAATTGAGATATGGAAGAATAGTCATATATCCAGTGGATAATGTTTCTTTCTTTTTTTCCAAGTACAAGCTTTTAGCTCATAGCTCCGCCATTGCTTGGTCGATTTGAGTTCTAATTACAGTTTCGGACTCAGTAGGTCAAACCCTTTCGATTGATGTGTTTGACCACGTCAAAGGTCTCAAAGATTAATTTACTCTAGTCTTGCCTAAAATTATTTAAATTTGAGGGTAGGATGTTAAAGATCCTGATGAGTAATAAAATCGAATTGGGTATACGCGCGCCTCATACTTGATATTGCTGGCGACAGTAATATAGCTAATAAAACGGGAAAAAAAGGTCTCGTAGATTAATTTGCTCTAATCGAGCCTAAAATAATTTCAAGTGCTGCGGCTATTGAGGATTCCCTCTTATTTTTTAATCAAAATGTCCATTTCACAGAGATATCCATTTCCTTCATTTATTAATAATCTCTACCTGTACTATAGTAGTATACTGTTCCTATAGTTCCTCTTGTATTTAGGTTTTGTATGTTCAACTTCCCAGGATTCGTTTTTGAACCCGAAGTGTTCCTCCTTGGTTCCACATGGCAGGGGCGTCGCTGAGCACCACCGGTCTATATTGTAATTATGTTTTCATTATTTTCTCGACCTTTGGGGGGTCAGGTGCTATTTTGACCTCTTCCCCCTCCTATGTAGATGTTTCGCATTTGTAAATGTTATATTTACACTTGGGTCGGAGTTTGCATTCTTTTGAAATACTTCACCCGACCCCTTTAATAGGACCATGTGCATGTATGATACACTGGTAACATCTGTACGTTATTAACACTTCACTGACGCTAGGTCCGTTGTGTGATTTGTACTTAACTTTAAACAAACAAGCGCTAGGTCCGTGCGATTTTCCTGCGCATTCACTAACAGTTCCATTGTTAATCGCACACTTTTCACTATATCAGCCTACCAGGAGTGTATTTACATAAATACCCTTTAATACACTCATAATATTTTATTCTAATGATATATTGTAAATACTAGTTGTAGTTGGCTTATTTATTATAGTTAATGTTTAATGTTGTTCTTATACAGATGTTTATGGAAATAAATTATTGTCATATGGTGGAATTTGTCAGATATGTACTCTATGTTCGGATAATTATAAAGACATTTTGCTGTTGTAGCTCTTAGTACGCGGAATGCTGTAGTTAATATTTTGTTTGGTTTGAAGTTTATTTTTAATTTTATTTTGTGATATATTGTACCAGACTGTACATGCGTATTCCAGTACTGGTCTGGCACATGTTGTGTAAATTTTAAGAATGCTTTTGCTGATGTACCTTAGATTTTTTTCCTGACAAACTCCTAACATAAATTTATATGTTTATTCCAATTTAATTTTGAATCATATGTTATTCCTAAGAATTTTGCTCATGTGGCATTCTGGAGACGAGTTCCTTGTAAATATAGTATTGGTGGATGTTTTGACATTTTGGTTGATTTTGTTGGAGAGAAGTAGTTGTGGTTTTGGTTACGTTTTCCCGTCAGTATTCATGTATTCTGAGGTTGCAAGTTAGTTGCAGGAGTTGGAGAGATTTTTCAGATTGCCACATCGTCCACGAACTGAGAAGCGAAGCTTTCGTTCGGGTCATTTAGGGACATGTTACTAACATGCATTATGAAAAATATCGGGCTAACTTCCCCTCCCTGCGGGACCCTTGCCTCAGGAGTAAAATGATCCGACTAGGTTTCTTCCACATTAATTCGAAATCTTATATCTTCCAGAAAGTTGGATAACCAGCGAATAATACCACTCGGTAGTTCCATTTCAGACATGCGGAACCTGAGACCGTTATGCCATACAGTGTCGAATGCTTTCTCAATATCGAAGAAGCAAGCGACAGTGGTTAGAGGGAGTTTTTAACATTATGCGATAAGCGGATGCCTTAATTACTAGAACTTCCTTGAAAATTCAGGAAACGATTTGGACAATATAAAGTGTTAGTTAAACTAGTGTTAGATATTGATTTGTTATTGAGTTAATGAGTTTGTTCGTAACCTAGTTCAGTTTTGTGAATATTAAGTTTATATTTCAACGAAGTACGAGAGATACGACAGTGTCGTACATACTGGAGGGTGAGCAAGTGGCGTTGCTGAAAGCAACGTTCGACATCAAATAACTAAATCCAATAAACTTTATTTGGTTTAATTGAAAAAAAGGAAATTTATTCATAAAATTTATGAACAGGTATAAATAATTTGCAAATGATGCTCCTCACGAGTTACAACTAATGAATTAGGTTTAAGCACAAATAATTATTATTATTAGCGATAGCAGAAGGATTCAAAGAACTATTCTAAGCGTGTAAGTGATTTTAGGAGTTATTTTACATTTGAAGC